AAGTATCACGTTTTATACTTTCATGTTCTGCTCCTACTCCTTTACTTATGAAAGGAGCATTTCACCAGTGGAAACATTAATATTTATTGAAAGTGGGTTATATATGTAGTCGAAATGTAACATGCATTTTGAATTTGGTGCCTATTTGACCGAGAAAAGACAGAAAGTGACTTTAGGGCGCATTTTTATTAAAGACAGCAACTCCCACAATGCACAGCTCCGCAAGCCGCTCCCACTAACACTATCAAGGACTACAACAACGTGAATGTAAACCATTTATTTACAGAAATATATCAACAACAACAAAAATAAATATGTTAACAATGATAGTTATAGTTCCTCCTGAGCGTCCTCAACTTCTTGGTGCCCGCAGTACTGGCCATCTGGAGCTGGATATTTCGGATAGCCTGCACCACATAAGCGGGTAAAACGATGCCTCGACCCAATCTCTCGCCTTGCAGGACCCATTCCAGAAAGGCTGTTAGGCGATATTGTCTACAAGACATTGAGCACACAGTTAGCGATGCATGGGCTTTGTGTGTAGCGTGCCACAGTAGTTAGCAATGCAACTGCAAGCTGTTTGTGCAGTAAAGAAGCTAACGTTAGTTCAGTTGGCTGACGTTACGTATTAACCGGGAATAACTTTGTGATAATGCTTGAACAAATTGTGTACATACATGCCACGTTGTTATAAGACAGAAAATAGAAAGACTCACTTTACAGTCAGATGTCCGTGTGTCCGTAGGTGCACAGCGAGAGCACAGGCACCAGCAGTCCGCCCCAGCTCGAGCCAGTCCGGGCTCCTCGTCCACGACAGGCAGGTCCTCTGCCTCGGCTGCAGCAGCCTCAGCCGCTGCTCGCTATATTGCGGCTCATAAAGGTAGCCACAAACATCTGATTCGACCAGCATACTTTCGAAATTTCTTCCATATTAGATTGATTAACATAGTAGTAACGTCTGGCTCATCAGCGCCTCTGCTTAGCTTCCAAACAAGATGGCGGTTATATTTTTTAGTTTCTGCAAGTGAAGTCCCACCCACTGATCTGTAATAGGTCTGTAGCGTGAGTGAAAAAAAATGAGGAAGTAGTGTTTGTAGTCTCACCCCCTCTACAGAGATATGAGACTTCCTGCTTCCAATGACGCAAAATGAAGATTTTTTGGAAGCAGGAAGTGCAACACTAAAATCCTTATTTCTCCCCTCTCAGGGAAAGTGAGGGAATGATGCACGACCATTGAAAAATATGACTGGGGTTCTAATGATACAAAGCTTAATGCAAATGGGTGAAGTGTCCCTTGAAATGCAAAACACATTGTTGATGATATGTGTTGACTGTGGTGAGGGGCGTGTCTGTGGGGTGGTGGGAAATTTTGATGTAAAGCCACAAAATATGAATTTGCTATAACTTGAGTGTACATTGTCCAATCGGCTCCAAACTTCACTTGTCTGACAAGAGTCCCGCCTTGAACATGCCTATGTGATAAGATTCAGGATTACTGAGAGCGCCACCTACTGACAACAGGAAGTAAGTGGTCCGCACTTGTTACGACGGCACGTGACGCGGCCGCAGCACACGTGCCGGCTGCAAGGTCCCGTTCAATGCTGCTTGCAGCTTTAATTTTAAATTGTAATTCTTTTGCTTTTGGGGAGTTCGGCCATTTCATATATTTAACATGCTTGTTTGAGATTTTTGAGTTGCTCTCACTTGTTTTAATATTTATAGCTCTTGCAAGATCATGAAAAATTATTTCTTTAAACTTATTCTGTATGACTTTATTGCTGCATTTTTTAGCTCCAATTTGGATTTGTCCTTCTGAATGTGAAAGTGTGTTTTGAATTTACTGGATTAAGGGAGCTCGTATTGCATGACATATTTTACTGTATTCTCTATAAGAGCACTGTATATAAAAATTTTCTTTGAAGGAATCAAGTTTCATGAATATGCAGTATTGCTCCTTGACACCTGGAAACACACTTTGATGTGGAAAATTGGTGCACTTCCCATTAAAAGGTCCAGTGTATAATATTCAGGAGGAGCTATGGTCAGAAATTGAACATAATATTTATATGTATGTTTTTATTAGTGTATAATCAACTGAATATTAGAATTGCTGTGTTTTTTTCCATCCTCATTTGATTTCCTGGCTTTGGATATTTCATATTATATTCAATACATAATAATAACCATAGAGAACAATTGATAAACAGTACAATGAACCCAAACAGTGAACACAATGATTGTAGGAAGCGATTTGGATTAATTTTGAGCTGATTATTATTTACTGTGTATATTATATCACAGATGAGATTTCCTGATATTTTTTAAACAATAAAATTCAATACAATTTATACATGATTCTAGCATGACACTATGTATTGACTGAATTACCTAGATGCAGTTAGGAATGGAGTTTACTGCTGTCGTTGGACTGTCCAAAGTAGGACAGTAGTTTATTCATCCACACTACCAGTTAATTTGCCTTTCATTTCAGTTTGTGGATCATAATTTGATCATTCAGTTATTATTTAATTTATTGACCAACTATGTATGAGAATCAGAATCAGAAATACTTCATTGATCCCCGGGGGGAAATCTGTAAATCAAATTAAAGGAACAGTTTAACATTTTGGCAAAAGCTTATTTAGAGTTAGATGTTCAGACTGATACAGCTGTTGTGTCCGTACAAAAAATATGTAGCTACAACCAGCAACTGCTTAAATAAGCTTAGCATAAAGACTGGAAACAGGGGGAAAGAGCTATCCTGGCTGTGGCCAAATTAAAGGAGCTGTGCTGTAACAGCTATGTGTACACCAGAAGAAAAAAAAAAACCCTTGTGAAGCTACAAGTTTTTTACTCTTTGGTTTTTGTAAAGGTTAAACAAACAACATCCAACATGTTAATTTGTGAGCTTTTGAGGTGTTAGGAGGAACATTTTGTTACCTTTGGGCAGTTTATTATGGCAGGGTTCGAGTTATAATCTGAGCTTTGTGTGGGTTTTCAAATAATATTTTAGTTGCTTTTTGTGAGTTGATTTAAATGTATCTAATTTGTGTTAATGGGCATGTATGATATCATCTGATATTGAAGGCATGCCCCTGAACTGAGAAATTATATTGTGACCGATTATGCCCCTACTTTTTATATCAAAATCTAAAAAAAGATGGTTACATGATGAAAAACATTGAGATCTCTGTTTTTAAAAACCCCTCTGCAAGCATGTTGAAGTCAGTTGCATTTACTAAGAGTGAAAATGTAGTTCGCTATCTATCTAATCTTAGATAATAATGACATTAGTTTATCTTGTAGCTACTGGTCTGCAGAGCTTTTGAATTGGTGTCCTTCAGAAAGCAGCTAATTTAATGTGATGAAGGGAGGGGCAAAGAGGAAGAGAAGAAGAGAGAATGGGAGATTGTTTGTTCAGACCTGTTGTACTTCATTAAAACAAGATTTATCAACAAGCACTGTTTTTTCATTATTTTGCATTGGCCTGAACACCCTAAGAAATTAATATGGAAAGTAACTTACTTTGAGTTATTTATTAACAGGTTCCTTTTTCACTTTTACTTAAATCATTTTCTGTGAGAGTAATTGTACTTTTACTTGAGGATAGATTTTCAGTACTATACGCTGCTTTATAGTCAACCTCTCATCCAGACTGACTGCATCTTTTTGTAGTTCTTGCAATGCTGCACATCCATTAACATATTGCTAATGTATTACCACACAAATCACAGCAATACCCACTACACTTCTCACAGATCAATGAACAATGCAACTGTCTCAATGCACAAAGAGATGTATGGATGTAATGGAATGAATATGTTGTGGTCCAGGTCATCAGCCCTGCCAGTCCTGACATTAAAACCATCCAAGCTTCTGTCGGGCTCCACATTGTAGGGTGTTACAGTGGTTTAACTGTATTAGTTTAATCAATTAATGGTTATCAAAATTTATAATTATCAAAAGATAATAGAAAATGACTTTAATCAATATTAAAGATCCTCGGGGCACCATTCTTAAATAAGGGAAACAATAGCCAATAATTGATTGATCAGTCTCATAAAAATGCACTAAACTATTAATTCAGAAGTCAGATTAGAAGAGGTTGGTATCACCCACTCTTATACGAAATTAAATAGGCCAGCATATATAAACACAAGCATTTATTAAAGAGATATAATAAACGCAAACAGAGGATAATACACTATATACAATCTAACTTAAAGGAACTAAGTTAGAGGATAAAGGTGTGTGTGTGTGTGTGTGTGTGTGTGTGTGTGTGTGTGTGTGTGTGTGTGTGTGTGTGCGCGTATGGGGGTTGCATGCCAGGAAAGGTGTGTGGCCTTTGTCCTCTGAGATGTTTCAATGTATGAAACACTTGTTGGTGAGAGACTAAGAGTATGGAGGATTGTAGCCAGACAGTAGCTATTCTAACCTTGGAATTAACAGCCAGTAACATCTGGCCTGATGCAACAGACGATCAATAATGGTCACATTACAGTTACATTGATATAAATTCAGTCAGTTAAAATAAATACAATGAGATAGAGTGTAATGACTGTTCACATAATGTCATATAAATGTGCTCCGGAAAGCTGAATGAATTGCTGTAATGAGACTTCAGTGTGCGAATGAAGCATTTTTTTTATGATGTACTGTAGGTGTGATGCTGTTGTGGCCTTTTAAATCACTATGTGACAGGATTATTTATGAGGCCTTTGCATACAACAACACATTCATGCAAACAGCTCCTTTTGTAGGTCACATGGAAACAGTATAAACACGCCAAACACACACACGTACACTCTGTGGGTTAGACGTGTATGAGCTGTAATGATGATGAATGAGACTGTTTAACTCTATGAAAACACTAATAAGTACTTTCCTAGAGTGACAATTAAATAGAAAATGTAACAGCCGGCCAATAAAAAAAGCAAACACTCTGTGTGTGTGTGTGTGTGTGTGTGTGTGTGTGTGTGTGTGTGTTTGTGTGTACTTACAGTGAACAGTGAGCTGGACTGAAGCGTTGGTCATGCCCACTATGTTGGTGGCGGTGCAGGTTAGCAGGAAGTTGTTGTCTTCTCTGCTCACATTGACCAAAGTTATGTTGATGGAATGGATGGTGTTGTTGTCGTAGACTCTGGCCTGGAGGAAGAGCACAATCATATAAGAACGCTCGCAAGCAATGTCAACATTATGCTGCTTTCGTGCAATTTTGGCTGAATGGGAAGAAAATGAATGATTCTGACTTAGGTGGTTATCTCATGTAGTCACTACATCTGATTGAAAAATGTGTTGAACTTGATCTCTACCACTCGGTTTAGGCATGTTATGCTAAACAAATTCACTAGACGTTGCAGCGTCTTTAAACGTACAACATGGGATTTCTGCCACTAGGGGGTCTCTCACATCAAAACAATAACAAAAGAGAAAGTTTGATGATGTCATGAACTAGTGTGGGATCATGGGAGTTGTTGTCTTCACCACCATTGCTGTCAGTCAGCTTCTCCCAGTTAGGAGTCCTTTAGTGTTCCTGGTTTAGGAGGTTTCTACCTGGAGCCCAATTATCCACAGAGGTCTCCTCCTCTCCAAAAACAAACAGACCCGCTGATTAAAACCGCTAAAAACTGAATAAAGCAGTTCCACCTTAAAAATCACAATCATCTTTTACTACTTTGATAGTTCATCCAATCAGCTGCCTGCAAGTTCCAAACTGTTTCTAACAATGACTTTCCACATGGTTCTGTGCAACAAACCACCTGGGGCAGTCAGGTTATTGTTGAAAGACATCTATGACAAAGGAACAGTCAGCCTATTTAGTCACAGTTGCATTTGACCAGTTTATTTAGTATGGACAGTGTCTTTGTAAGGAATTAGCAAATATACAAAGTTATATTTCAATCATTGTTTATTCAGTGGGGCTTGCTAGCACTGTATGGAGGGTTTCCTTACAAAGTGGAATTCATCAATAGAATGTATTCATGATTTAAGAATGAAAGAAGCCAGCTCCAGTTCACATGATCTAACACTTGCTTTCATCACGTGTTGGAAGACAAAACTGCCATTTGTCCTCCATGATCTCATCTAACTAGCTACAGCTAATTAATAAAGTACCTCATCACTTCAGCTCTAAGAAGACTGCTCTGCTGCTGTATGGTGTTTGTTTCTGCTGGAAGTCATGTCAATGATTAATGCCAATAGATACACATCCATTATTTATGAGCTAACTGCCAGCAGCTAGCTGATATTATGTGTAAAATGCAACACTCATAACTCTAGCTGTTGTGTATTTTCCTCGATGTGTGTGAATGTGTGTCCTCCCTACCTCTTGTGCGTTGATGGAGTGTAAGCCGTTGACAGGCCAGTCCACCTCAGGTAACGGGGATCCAGACCCATTACAAATCGCTGTTACTCGATCACCCTCGATTACTGTGAGGTTACTGTGGCTGACACTGATGTCTGGCAGGTCTGGGAAAAAGAGAATGAATGTGAAAATATTATTAAATCCATATAGACGTAACCATTTTCAAGTTCTTAAGACCAACAAAAACTGGCCAGTTGGTGCATTTCCTCAAAACCTCTCAAAGCATTACACATCAATGTTGTGTCCTAATTTAAAACTACATAATGATTTTACAGTACAGTACTATATGCTGATCTTCACAGTAAACCTTTTTTTTTCTTTTTAAGTCAACATACTTTACCATTTTATACAGGATACAGGAATGGTGCAGTTTATGCACCTTCAAACATAGTTTTAGCTCAGAACCTCAGTCAACTTTCTCCTTTCCTGGACTTAGATATGCTATGTGCCAGGCTACCCTGTGTTGATCATATTTTATAAAATTAAATGCAATGTATATATAGTTGCAGCTTACGTTAGCTAACATTGGCAAAAGGCTAGCTAAATAGCTAAATAAGAATTGATGCAAATTAGCTTGCAAGTAAGCTAACATTTTGCTAACGTTATGTAAGACGTGACTAGTTAGCTAAGGATTGATATAGATTAGCTAAATAGTAAGCAAAGTCTTTGCTTACATTAGCTAATATAAGATGTGATTATATTTCTGATGCTTTTATCTTTTAACCATCTTCAAAATGTGGTTGTCTTTTCAACATAGACAAGCCTTCCACACAGCATATTTAAGTACAGGAAAGGAGGAAGTTGACTTGCTCAACTGTTATTGGAGCAGAGAGCAAAAAGGGTTGGGACTTACCAAGTCCTTACTGACCAAATACCCTTAATTCTGGAGTTTTTAAAAAGTAAAAACTTACCTATCTTGAAAATTGCTTATGATCTAAACAAACCTTTAAGGTGCTTTTTTGATCCATTACTGAAAACTTGAACTTTTATAGAATTATTAGATAATAAATAGTTAGAATGTGTAGTGGGAAAATGTGTTCAGGGATAAACTTCTGTGAACATGAAGCAAACTATATGTTGTATTATTAGTATATATTAGTATAATATTTTATGTTGATGTATGTTCATCCTCATGTATTCCCATTCTGGTTGTCTCACCCTAGTTAATTAAGATAAGTGTTATTCATTGTGCCATGAGCTAAGCAAAGACCTAAAGATTACACCAAATTATACTGAATTATAAAAAGCAAAATTGTGCATTGATGCTCTGATTTGGAATTTTGCTGATTTGCTGATTGATGACTTCTTTCGTTAAATTGCATAATTGCTGAAGTGAATTGCTGTTATCACAAAGCGTGTCTCATGGATGAGGGGTGTGTGTGGGAGAGTGAGTAAAAATCCTAACCGAAGCCAAATACTCTGTATATAAATAGTGTGAAGAAGTCCTAGGAAAGTCACTGTGTGTGATCTAGGCGGTAGTAGTAAAAAAAAAAATAGCATCTTGCTGAGAAACCGCTGTTTTGCTATATTAATAGACAGGGCAGGCCCCGTAGTAAATGCTAGCCGAGATTCCGCTACATTAGGATCATCCTTATGGTCTGTTTGACTGTACGGCTATGCGTCCCGTTAATAAAAGTAGTTTAAAAATAGAAGTAGGTAAAGTAGCATCTTGTGAAGAAACCTCCAAAATAGAGGCCAAATATTAATAAAACAAAATGATAAAATACACTCAAATTCCTTTTTGGATCCTCAAAGACAAAAAGTTTACTTAAGAAAGTTCATAACATTCAAATAAGTAATCAAATACTTTACCACAACCACACAAAATAAAGAGAGGAAAAATATTGATAATTGAACAGATAAAATCAATACCCCTACACAAAGGTAGTAAAGGTAAAGAAAGAAATAAAGCAGACTGGATGGATAAATTAATAACATAAAGTAAGGTTTGAGCCCAAGAGAGGAAAAGAACATAAAAACAAATAAAAATAAAATAAAAAAGATAACAAACATAACATAGGCTTCCAACCTTCAGCAAAGCCTAGGCTCCAAGGTAGATAGTCAGTGAAATAAATTAACCCTTGAAGCTCAACAGGAGAAGAGCATACAAGAACTGTATTAGTACAGTTGTGTATGCATGTCCTAAATAACTTGAGCGAACATCTTAAAGGACAATATTAACATCATATGCTCCTGGAGCTGTAAATATTGTTGCTGTGGTGACCATTGTGTGTGCTGGCTGATTTTGTCTGGTTTGTTTTTGTTTTTTGCTGTTTTGGAACATTGCTGTGGTGACTTTATACTGTTTGATAATTTCATTTTTGCATTTATGGGTGGGAAGATACACAATTTGAGCAGTTTGATTATATATTGAAGTTTATTAACATAAATAAAGCATTTTGGTTAATTGTTGCATTGCAGGGTATGGTCTTATGTATATCATAGAGAGTGATCTCACTATAGTTGTTTTGTGGACTTTCCACTGTAGATAAATTGATCATGCTGAACTAATATACTGGACAATATTTTTAAGCCTATTATGTTATTTGGAGTGATTGAGTGTTTACCTAGGACATATTTTTTACTGTGGTTTTGGATGTGACCCCTTAGATCCCTCTCTGTGAGGTTTGCAGCCATTGTCTTATAATCATGCACAGCGCAGCTAGGAGAGCAAGTTTTTAGAACATCTGCAGTGCCTGTCTATGTGTGTGTCTAAAGCAGCAGACTTGTGCTGACAGCATATCAATTACTATTCTTTAAAGCCTAATGATTTAATGGACCCTGTACTGGTGCTATTGGGTACAGCTAACGTTACTACACATTTTTGGGACAACAAATATTAGAGACGCTGAGGACATAATCAGATAAGCTATAATACCATATATATAATATTATAATAATAATAATTCTTTATTGTGGGCAATGACACAGGGGTAAAGACATTCTAGTCAAAAAATGTCCACATTAAAAAGGGGATGACATATTAAATTTATTTTGGTATTCTGGTGGTAGATGACAATGACAATGACCACGAAAGCAATCCGACCGCACTAGTTCCAGATCATCCTGTACGCAACAGCCTGCCAGACACCTATGAACAAAGCATGCCACAGATGTGGGGCTCATGACGTCAGCAGGCCAAGTACTCATCCGACTCAAACCTAACATAATTTTACCATAAAAGAAACAATACCCGCTGACATTTGAAGAAAAAGTACAATATGAGGCCTGTTGGAAGCTATTGTGATGTGCTGCAATATCCCCATATTTTTCTGTGAAAAAGAGTACACTCGTCTGCCACAAGGTTACAATTAGTTGCCGTCAATTCTGACTATGCTTTTAACTGAAAGCACTGCAAGACACAGTTGAAATGCAGTGGAATTCAAGGCAGGCATTTGCCCAATTTAAAGGGGATTTATCTAACTGCTCCTGCACTTTTGTATCCAGATTATCCTTATGAAAAGGCCTCTACCATTTCTATGGGACATGAGGTGTTTTTGTACACCAATCATGCATTCCATGCGCTTCTCACAGCACCAAACTTTGTAATAATATACACACTGGGTATGATATTATCCTATAAGCCCCAGAACTCACCATACTATGGTGTCAAACATTCAAACCTCCCGCATGATGGTACTCTACATGATTGTGTGGCAGTTTTGGAAGCATATCTAAGGCCTGAAGTGATCTTTTAGCTGAACCTTGTTCGTGAAAGGTAATGCTGTTGTCACACCAATGATAGACATGTTGGAATATCCGCAGCTGCTGTATGCTCCCCTTTTAGCACAAGCAACACAACTTAAGGCTTTAGCTGCAGCGTAGTGGTTAGGTCAAGGCAAATCCTGTAACATTTACACAGACTCAGCATATGAACATGGCGTTTGTCACCTCAATGGTGCCATATAGAGGCAGAGAGGTTTCATGAGGGCAGATGGCAAACCAGTGTCACATGGGACTCTCATTGCTAAGCTCTTCCTTGCAATGTCTTTGCTGGCTTCATTAGTGGTAGTAAAGTGTGCAGCTCACAGAAGCTGCTAGACAGGCAGCAGCATCATCAGACCTTGATCACCTGCCCACACTAATGTACCAGGCCTCATGAAACCACGCCTGATGTTGACAATGACAATGGCGATCCTACCATTTCATTGCGTGGCTGAGCTATAGTCGACTGCATCTGCAGAGGAGAAACAACTTTGGTTTGACAGGGGAGTTGTTAAAACCAGCTCCACTGGACGTTTTTTGTTCTGCCACAGGGGCAGTGTTGGTGGCACTTGCATTTTTGCACATAGCACAACTTTTAATCATGAATGTCTTTAAATGGCCAAATCTGAAATATTTCCGATAAATTCCCTAGGAGGAGTTCGTTCAAATACAACATGTGCAAAACGCCGAAATTACTACAAAATTCAAAATGGCCGACTTCCTGTTGGGTTTGGGTTATGGGTCCAAGAGGCTTTTTTGCTTGTCCAATCATGATACACATGTGTACCAATTTTCGTACATGTCGGTCTTACGTGTCTTGGGGGCTGATTCTGGGGGGGGCATGGCTAAGCCATTTTGCAACGCACATCTGCAGAACCAAGATAATACGTTAGCCTTCACCACTACTGAATTTTGTTCAAAGATCCATGAGTTTTCGGGCATGTTCAAATGTTAACATAAAAGCTGATTTTCTCTGCATCGCCATGGCAACGTGGTTCTTCGAAAATTCTTAAGATTCATAAGATTTCATCGTCATGGTCATTTTCCTAAGGAACTTCTTACAGAATTTTAGCTGAATCTGGTCAATCTGCCGGAAGTATACATAAAATTATAAAAATGACATTTCCTTTAACCACTAGGTGGCAGTATCCCTATTACTGAATATTATCACAGAGATGTGTTCAGGGCGGGACTCTTATCAGACACGTGAAGTTTGGAGCCGATTGGACAATGTACACCTTCGATCAATTCCCAAGGAGGAGTTTGTTCAAATACAATGTGTGCAAATCGCCAAAAATGGCAGCTAAATCCAAAATGGCCGACTTCCTGTTGGGTTTTGGATAAGGTTCCCTACTGGATTTTTGTTCGTCTGGATAAGATCTACGTATGTGCCAATTTT